TCATCGTCAAAAGAAAATGTGGTGTCCATGGCCCTCTTTGGAAACGATGTATATTATGATCGATGTCTTCTAAACGCAATTATAAGTCATTTTAGTTATGAACATTTAAATTTAAATACCACATTTATATTCATAGAAAATACAGATCCACGTTTTGTTGCTTTAATTTTTTTCAAATACCTAAGTCGTTTTCGTAATACAGTCAATAGATTTTTCTCTTAAATTCAAATTCAACATAAGCATTTATATCTAAGCAACTATCGATAATTTTTTTCAAAGTAATTTAAACCCAATGCACTTACACACATGTGAATAATGTCAGTTAGTCAATGTGTATATGAGTTACAGTGCAGTTACAATTGTATATATTTGCCAGATGGTCTAAGTGGGGTATAGGTACATATGTGAGTGTATTGAATGCAGTGTGCTACTATATATATATATATATAACCATTGTTATGTTAACAACAATAACATCTCGTTTTTGTCCATTAGGCTACACTGATTTAATTTTATGGATGACATCCTCTGGAGACCCCAAAACTAATGCGAGAGGCAACGCAATACGCATGCGCAGGAGATCATTTACGACAAAATTGGCACGTTTTTAGATAGTCCAAAAAGAGTTTTATGACAAGCCGGCGCTTTGCGACAATATGAGTCAGCAAGTTCCGGGCAGAAAAACGATCTGTGGAGACTCGTCGTCGGAGAATCAGAATCAGAAATCGAACACATGCATTCACGTAAAATATAAATATGTAAGCGTACCTGAAAGTCAAGATCGGCATCCACGGCGATAAGAATCGAACACACCAATATCAAAAGAAGCATAATGAAATATCTATAATTTAAATATACTATTGTTTTAGATGATGATCACTATTATTGCTTGTTATGAATCGCCACTATCATAATTAAAAGGTTTTTGTGACGTCATAACTTCACATTATCACACTATAATGTAACCTCTATGATAATATTGACCGAGACGTAACCGAAGTCAATAATTCTCATGTCGGGCTTTAAAACTGAATATCAACCGTGTCTGAGGTAATTAAATGTTTTATTACACCGAAAACAACAACATAAATCGGGTTTGTATCGACGACATTTTGGATTTTGTACCGCTACGACTGCGCTTGCACAATACAGAAATCGGGGTCACTGGATTTTTATTATTTACTCCAAGTCAAAATAAACTAATTTTACCACCACGTGATCGCATTCTAACCAATCAATGTTACGATCTTGAACATGGGGTATTTTCTGATATTTATTTGGTTTCCAGCGACTGTGATGGCATTACGATCGATGTGCTCCTAATAATTAAGAGAGTATGTATTCGCTTTGAATAGTACAATACAATAGTACATAAATTGAACATACTTACCGCTATCCTTCACAAAAGTTGGCTTTCAATACTTCAAAGATGATGGTGTATTTTTGACTATCTATAGACGTAGTTATTCTGTAGACAAATTAACGCGTGTTTGAATATGTGCTTTACACGGTACAGCACAGAACAGCAGTGTCGACTCACTCTCTTATCAGTACGCATTGACATAATCACGATAGACCAGGCGTTAATAATGTTGCGTGTATAGACGATAATACCATCATTATGACGATTGTGTGCATCATGATGTGACATGCTGGTTTAGTGTTTTGTTACATATTCCGTGTTTTTGAAACATTAGACTTTGCCGTACACAGGACATAAAAAAGCGTCTTGGGCTATGCGATGATCGTGTACCCCGGATATCAATATTACAAATTATTAAATACAGTAATAGTAATCTGAGAATTTTGATTGCATCATGTATGTGTATAGTAACTGCAAATATCGTTAAAAATGTAGAATGTCAAATATGAGGTAATATTCTACTTCTTACAAATAATGATTTTCACTGTTATGACCAATTTTGGATTACTGTGTCGCCAAAGAGTGCAGATCATGTAAGTACATACGTTGAAAACTCTAATAATTGAAAATATTCCTTAGATACTCCTTAAAAATGGTTTCGATGACATTTTTTTTTTACTGGTGGTGGTGTATTATTAATAATGTGATATAATAGGTTACTTACTACGTCCATGTGACTATGCAACGAAATTGCTAGACGCCAGTATTGATACTGCTATAAGCATGTGTTGTTACAATATGATACACAGACAGACTAAACAAAATGGTAATACTCTTATTGTCAGTACTGTCCGTTTATGTCGGTTGAAATAAGCAAACAATGATCATGCACTCCATTTTTTCGTATATATATATATATATATCTTCGCTTACGTTGCTAATGGCATGTATATTGTTTAGTTATAAGTTCATGTTTCGAAATAGTATTTGAATATGTCGTAATAACTTCGTATATCACTGATACATTTTAATTTTTGTTCTGAATTAGCAATATATCAAGAAACATGCGCAAAATAATTATTGTCATCATGTATTTTTATTTATTTATTCGTTCATCTTCATTCATTTGTTAACTATATTGTCATGGATCATTCAAGCAATCTTTTTCTATAAATCGTTCTCTTTCTCGCGATTGCTACAGTAAAGTCCTTGGAATACGACTTTCTATTGATATTGTACGTGTTACCGCAACTCATTGATTTTTTCGACTTGCCAACAATACATATATTGAGCGGCATGTGCAGCGATCCCTGGCTGCCAAACAATGGGAAACTAAACACATGATGTGCTGATCCGTGCAATATGTACCGGGTGCTTCGAAGGATTATATGGGTTGTTTTGCTTAATTATTGTATTTGCAAACAAAAAGGAAGACAAATAACGGTTGAATATGTAACCTCTGTTTATATCGTAGATTAACAGTGCTATATTGTTACGAATATCGTTTGATACTAGACTCGTACTTTGACTCATGGGTCTTTGCTGTGCAGTTTGTATACGCGCAATGAAGTGGTATAGTACAGTGCGTTTGGTTCACGCAGCATCTACGAACAACATCACATTCCCTATAATACTGAATCATGTGTGTAGAACCATCCATGCCATACGTCAATTGCGTAAATTATCTGTCGCCCTCTAGTGGGTGGTCAGTGATGTTTGAGTGAAAGTAGGGTGCCTCAGGCGGTGAACCGTGTATGTAGCTGCCGTAGCTCGCCGTAGCAGACTGGCAGAAATTACTTGGAGGTATGTTGCCCGCCCTCTGTGTCGAAACTTGCATGGACTCTTTGTTTTGGTATTTTCACTTGAGATTGTGGCATTGACCTGTTTGCATGCGTGTATCATGACGCGTTAATTTAG